GGCGTGTATGAAATGAATCCTGAGGAATTAAAAGGCCACAAAGGCATCACCACTAACAAGTGGGCTGGGTTACGTAAAAACACATAACAGCAAACGCTATTCCTCAACTGCAGATCCCAAACAGACGCATCCAGCCACAGATGTATAAATAAAAGCTCCTAAACATTACTGTGTTAGCTGACAATGTTAGCTTCCAAACTTTGGGAAAACTGACATTAAAACTAGCCTTACCTTTAGCGCAGCGTGGACCACACGGAGGAAATCAAAAAGAAAACTCCCCCAATCTCATTATCTATCGTGAGCGGGATGGTTGTCATTTACCGTGTTTAAAATTATATTTAACACTACTTTGTCCAAAATTCAGCTATGAGAGGCGATATTGCTGCTTACAGCTAACATTAGCAGACAAGGCCTTCACTCTTTCAACCAGCACCATCCATTCGCCTCCCACGGCTTTAGATAACTAGCATCATTTTGCTAACGTTGACTGGGTGGCTGAGAAAGCCCAAATCAACTATGTAACCGCAGACCAGCTAACACACATAGCGTAACCCGGGGTAATTCAACCGGTCAGCTAAGTAGTCATATTTTGTACAAGAAGAAATGCGGGTTTCTATTGACCCCGTTAAACTACTATGCCTCGTTGCATTCCCGTGACTGACCCGAAGACACCTCGATGTCCCGGGGTATGATAGGGATTGTGGCCGCTCTCCTTCCTCTGTTGTTGTGATGACTGGTAGTTAGCTAACGTTGGCCAGCTGTGCTCGGTCCAGTAGGCTAGCTACCGCTGCTAGCAAAGTTGACCGTTTTCAGCTTGAGTTCTCCATACACAGCGCTCTGTCAAACACACGGGTCGACCATATGAATGGTCTCTTTTAATACTAAACGGAAGTCTCAAACTTTGTCAATTATGTCGTGGTCAATCAATTTCCAGTCAACATCATCACTCTCTTCAGGCCATCCTGTCTTTCTTGACGAGACGCCATCTTAGTTTTTTCTCACGACCGAAGTACAACCTTATATCTTCACACGGCGTCTATAACGTCTACTCCCTGAAAGTAGTGCCCGTTTACGCAAACGAAGTCACGTAATTACAAAAGCAGAATTTTTTGAGGAGGAAGTGGGTCAATTCACGCGATGGCTTCTCCGTAACGCAAACAACACCACAAGGTATTCATAATCTCAACAAACGTTGGCCACCCAACGGGGTTTTAGTTCACCAATTCATTCATTATATGGTCTTTGCCTCAAAATGGTCAAAACTGTCGTGTAAATATGGTAAATAACAAAAGCAAAACTATAACGATTTAGAAATATTTCCAACTCCATTATTTATTGAAACTGGTTTGTAAAAACAAAAAAATCTATTAAAAAAAAATATGTTGGTAACATTAAATGACAAATGTGGCTATTTTAGAAAAATAAATCTAACAAATCTTACATCTTTTCAGGTTATTACTTTTTTTTAATGATTCAAATGCACACAATGACGTGTTCTGGTATAAAAATAATTTCAACGTTAGAAGCCCTGTTGATTTACTTGGGCATCTTTTGGCAAACTGATACTACTGGCACTCAACTCTTATCACTTTGTAATAAAATTGTATTTAATTTTATGAAACCCTGCAAAAAATGTGGTTTATTGTTTAATACATAACAAACAATAGTCCATTGGCCTAAAAGATCTACATGATATGTTTGGTTTTTATTTTTAATCGATTTAAACTAATTTAGTCTTAAAAACGTTTCAGGCATTATTGTTAAATTCTAAAATATGATTCTGTACATTTTGTCACTCCTGTGTAGAGGTTTTTATTTTTTCTTTAGACCCATATGGTGCTATAAATTTGACAGTTCTGCAGGTGCAGCGTTGTTTATCAGACAGTTAGTGGTATGATGCCAAACTGGCTAGTTTCTTATTTAAAGTGTGCTTGGCAAGACACTGAGCCCCTATGTGTAAGTGTGCATCATAAAGAAAACATCACTGTTCAGCCTGTAACACAATGCTATACGAGTGTGAGAAAATGGATGAAAGACGCTTTGATTGAAAAAACAAGGTTGGAAAATGGCTTTAGAAACAGTCAGCTTACCACTAAAATTCATGAATTCAATGTTACAACAAAAAAGTGAAGATGGTAAATGAGAATAACCTTTTTTCCCATAAACATTCCAGTTGAGGGGGTCATTTTAGCCGCCACTGAGATTTACTTCAAGGATCAGCCTTGATCAGTGTCCATTACTTTAAGACTTAAGATGGCATTGTTGATTATCACAGAGATGCACAGAAAAAAGCTGTTGGAGTTGTTCCGCTCTGTAACCTGAGGGTGGTGCTGCAGACAGGAAATGGGAAAAAAAAGTTAGAGAGACTGTGCTGTTGTTTGTGAATGGTATGAAAAGAACTGGGGAGCAAACAAAACCCTGCAGAGTTCCTGTGTTGATAGATTCTTACAGGATGCGGCTCATTCTTACATGCTGACTTTGACTTGCTATAAGGGCGCGGTCCCACTCATCAGCTTGTGCTTTTCAAATGAGATGGACTACATTAAAACAGTTAAGTAGCTGTGCCTATTTAGAGATTTTACTCAAAACAGCACCATTCTCAAAATATTACTCCATATATTTGTCGATTCACCTTATTTGGCCTTAATGTCACACAAACTACACACACACGCTGGTCACTTCACTGCAAGGACACTTTAATTTATCAGAAGCAATAAATATTCACATCTCAATTCTCTATTCTTTCAGTACACATAATACATACACTAAGAAAAAAAACTGAAATCATGTTTAAAATGATATTGTTAAATGCACTGACTGAGAAACTTTTCATCAGGCTTTAATTTATATCAGTGTAACTCATTCTCGCACCGTCAGTCTGAAATGATAAGAAAAGAAATAGAGCTCAATGTTCCTTTAGGCCAACATCTCCCGTCCTTTTTGTATATGTGCATACTTAGTGGCACTCACATGCACGCACCTGAATATAGAATGGGAGCCGTTCCTCCCGTTTCTATAAGAAGCCTATGTATAGTTTAGTATGTACATTCAGGTTTATACAGTACAACCTATTCAATAAGTGCGGATATACTCATGCAAGAAGAGTTTAAAAAGGACACCATGAAAAGAAAAGGATAGCAACACCTACATCAAAACTCTTAATTTAACATTCTGGACTCCAAACCTTCTCAAAAACCCTTTTTTAAGTCTGATCTTGGTGAATTTTGGCATCTTTTTCAGACGCCTGTTCTGCCACCTTTGTTGTTTGTTTTTTTTGTGCTCTCCTGGTTTTCCCTCTGTAATCAGTGGGATGTCAGTGTTCAATGTTTCCTTCAAAAATTGCTGTAGCAAAAGGGGCAACACTTACACGATGCCCACGAGGGAAGAAAAAAAAGAAAAGAAGAAAAGAGAAAAAGCAGGAAATTCAGTACGTACCTGTAGGTTACTTTACATTCTCGATTCTGGTAATGTTTTCAAACGAGAAGCCCTAAGCGAGATGCCAAGGCATCGGCAAATGTTATAAGATATTCCCAAAAGTCTCAGAACAGGGAGAGTCAGAAGAAGGCAGTTTCTGACTTAAGACACCACATGTGCAAAACCACAAAAACCCATGTAAAAGCGTGCTTCTTTCAAAAACATAGAAAAACACACATTGATTAAGTCCGATGACTGTAAGTGGGCGCAGGAGCCCCTGAATAATAACGTTTATCCAATCTTTGCAAACCATATTTAAGCTTTTGTTTCCTTTTCGCATTCTGGGAAGTGCATCAGAAAAAAATTCTATGAATTCAAGTGTTGTTAGTCGCTCCATCTGAGAAGTTGTGTCTGTTTGCTTGCAAAAAAATAAAACCAAAAAACAATAATTAGGAATGTTATCTGTGTTCAAGTCAATTTTCAACAGTCAAAATTTACCAATCGTATCAAACTAAACTGAATGGACACTATGGCACTGTGAAAGTTAACCACACTTCACTTCTCAGAGTAACCAGGCGTGGTTAAGGTAAACTGAGAGAGAATCTGTGTGTGTGTTCACACTCTGTATAACCATGTACAAACATCCGCTGATATAATTAAGTACTGATCAAAACAGTTATTGGACAATATTCATTATACTCATAGCAGGTATATCATAATATCAATAAAACAGCAAGAAGCTTCAGAAACATTCAAAAATATATTATTGTTTGTGACGTGGATCTCCATAACCCCACACGGAAAGTGCCATAAAGCCCGGTGACGCTTGCTGACACGAAAAAAGCCAAACACCGCCAGAGAACCGCGCGCTGCGTTCAGTACTTTGAAGACGGAGCAACAACTCTGAGGTTTTCTGGACAGAAACGACAGTGCCTCTCAGCAAAGCGCAAACCCGCAAGGATGGATGGAGACGCCATTAAGTTAGGTAAATTATTGCAAAGTCAAGGGACTTTTCTTTCGGTTGTTTTTTTTTGTTTGTTTTTTTGGCAACTTTCTTCTGTTTTTAATGCAAAACGCTGCTGGAATGCATTAAGTGGTTCAGTCTTTATTTACACCCCCATCTGAAGCAGGTGAGTACACGTTGGGCTCCGTCTGACCAGTGTCACATCGTCACATCTTGGCACTGTACATGTAAATACTCTCATACATACTCGACTTGACTTTGTACAGTTAAAAGTGAGGCAGTATAACTAGATATAGACTTAGTTTAATCTTAAACTATATGGCTATAGACTTTTTTGATTGTATGTGGCAAAAAATGTGGAGTTTGTGTTTGTGTGTGTGTTTGCGTGGCGGCAGGTTTCAAAATGGAGCGAGCCGTTCAGTTCCCACCGTCTCCCCTCCCTCCTCCTACATGTGCGGGAAGCGGAGGTGAAAGTAACAGAGGCGGAGCAGGCTGCGCCTCTTCTTGTCTCCGGCGCCGCTGCTGTTGCTTTCTGTCCGGGCAGATTTGGTTCTGGCCCGAGACCTGCCCGCCTCCGCCGGTCGGCTTTCTGACCTCTGGGCCCGGGAGCCCCAGGTCCTGCTCACACCACCGTGCTTATCCGGTTGATAGGTTTGGATTTGGAGCTGCCCCCGGTACCGGTCGCTCCAGCACCCGTCACCTGCGGCCCCTGCTGAGGCTGCCCGGGGTGCTGGGGGGGGTGAGGGGAGAGAGGTGTAAGAGGGGTAAGGGGGGACGAAGGGGGGGGTAAAGGGGAGTGTGGTGGGGGAGGAGGGATAGAGGAGAGAGGAGGGTACTGGGGCAGATACGGGCCGGCGGACGCTGCGTGATGCGCATTGACGGAGCCGGACGGCAGGTTGTGGGGCAGCGTGCCGAATATAAAGTGTGTTTGGTGGGTGGAATGGCTGACCGGGTGTGGTGTTTGGGCGTGTCCGGGGTGGGTTTGGGAGTGTGCGTGGGGGTGGGGGTGGGAGTGAGACAAGGTTAGTGGGGGCTTGGTGCCAGGGCCGCCGCCCCCTCTGATGGAGTGTGTGGGCTGCGCGTGGTAGAGGGCGAACGGCGGGTTCGGGGAATGTTGGGAGAGAGGAGAAAGGGGTGGGGGACAGCCGACCACCATGTTGCTGTAGCGACCCGGAAGCCCATGCTGGGAGAGCTGGGACAGATGGGCCAGCTGGGGGTGCTGGACGTGAGGTGGCCCAAGCGGCGGGCGACAGGGTAGCGGGCCTCTCTGTAAAGTATGAGGAGGCACACCTTGCAAAGGAGGAGGGACAGTTTGGATGTGGTAGCGATGGTGATGGTAGTAAGGTGGCGGAGGCTGTGCGGCGCCCGCGTGACAGTACTGTGCGTGCAGTGCCTGGATCTTGGAAGCGCCCCCGTCCAACTGGCACAGGGAAGAAGGGGAGTGAGGCGGGGGCCCTCCCGTAGTCGGTGGGGGCACAGGCGCGGGGTAGGGTGGCCCCGGTGGAATAAGGGGCCCTGGGGGTTTGGCGCGCTTGCTGCCGAAGAGGGAGCCCAGGAAGGAGCCGCTGTTGTTGCTGCTGGTGCTCCCCCCAGGGCCGCTCCCCGCTCCTGCTCTCTCGACACTGCTGGAGAGTCCCCCAACTCCTGTCCCAGCAGTGGTATGTTGCTGCCCCGGCCCACCCCCCACCCCTGTCCCGGGGCTCAGGATGGGGCGGTGAGGCCGGAAGTCTTCTGTTCCATAGCAGCCAGGGAGAACGGCTGGCACGGGATAGCGCTGGTGAGGCTGCGGGCTGCTAATGATGGAGCCCTGGGAAGAGGAAAGGGTCAGCGGAATTTATATAAAAAATCAATAAATAAAACAAAGAGGGTGGCAGAATACCCGCCCCCCCCTATTTCTGCTCACACCGTCAGACGAGACAAAGTTGGACAGGTAAACGCACACATAGCCATGCAAGGGGAGTCAGTGCAGGATACACAAACATGCACTCACACTGTGTATGCACACTGTATAAAGACGGCACGTGCTCAGGATTAAAAAAAAACAGCGAGGGGAAATGCAACTCTTGTAGGCTATAGTCCTAAATCTAGTCTTACACAAAGACTTACTTCCATGGTACTGTCCAGGGAACCAACACTGTTCCTGCGACCACGTTTCCCTGCGCCCCACCAGGAAGAATCAGGTTAGCAAAGCGTGTAAGATTGATTTGCTTCTTTTTTTTTTTTTTAAACATGTGAGCAATCTCTTAATGTCAGCAGGAAAGAGCAAGAAGATATAGCGAAAAGGGAAAGTGCCCATGATCATCCTACCAATCTCACCCCAGCTGACAGGAATGACACCCCCTCGCCTCACCTGCGTCCGATAGGTCCCTGAGAGAAGAGCTGAGCGCCGTGCGTTTGAGGCCCTCGCCCACTGAGCAGTTGTCGTCGAAACTTGTCCTTCCCAAGGTGCCGTTCACAACATCACTCTTCACACCTACGCCTCCCCCGACCACACTTCCAGTGAGCAAGCTGGGCCGCATCACACCTTTCTGCTTCTCCAACTCCGCTGGAGATTCACACGGTGCGCACGGGGGAATATCAAATGAGAGGGAAACATGGTACCCAGAAGAGTGAGCCAAAAGCGTCACAAAACACTCTCCATTCCCTTTAAACACTACTTGCTATGCATGCCTTTGCCATCTAACGTTACTGGTGTAATTCAAAGGGATGGACAGCAGATGGAGTGCTTACATTCCACTCGATATTTTTCCATCTCCTGCACTTCTGCAACGCTCTCCCTGAGGTCGCTGACAAAGCGGGTGCGGTCTTGCTGACTGGGTGCCATAAAGACAATAAGAACCTTCCTCTCCCCTCCCAGGCTCGCCGAGGTCAGGCGTACGCCATGTGGGTAGTCTGAAAACAAACAGGAAGAATCAAATACCTCATTAAACGTGACGATTGAGAGCGATTCGAAAGTTTAAAAGTAAAAATTGTTTTCTCACATGAGTTCTGGAACATGTGCACTTGCATCTCAACCAAAGGGAAGGATTGTCTAAAACTATAAGTCACAGAGGTTTTCTTCTTCTGGAAGATTTTTGTCACCTGGGGAAAAAACGGAGAAAAAAAACGTGATGCTCTTAACAGTGCCTTATAAATAAAACACACTGCCGTCCCTTAATAATTGATGGCAGCGAGCCTTACCACCAGCAGGTCGTTAAAGAGGAAGACCTCTCGTTGGTGCACTCCTGTCCTCTGAGGCCTGTTGGGGTCAGGCACCTCGTAGAGCTGGCAGCAACACACCAGCCTCCGGTGGGGGAGGGACAGCACCTTCATGAGCAAAAGCAGAGCAAATATCCATGAGAAAAGATATTGCGCCTTGTGACGCCTAAGGCGGCTGCAGAAACATACAGGCTTCTTGCCCACAATGACCCTTTCCACCGCCTGCACTTGGGACACGTGGTCGTCATTGGTCCGCAGCTCCCATTTCTGTATTCGCTGGTAGATCCCAACCAACAGGTCCCTGGGTATGTCCTGACCATTGTCTACACCTTGGGTAAATCCGGGGACACAGAGGGGTTTTAGAAATAATTTTACCCTTGAAAATTTAGGTTAAAAAGAGTTCTCATCATAGATATCATAAGTGCACACTGACGCTGATGTAAAGTAAACCGGTCAGTACATTAGTCTTTTCTGTTCAAAAGCACCTCTCAGGTTCTTGATGAAATCTTCTAGCTTCATCTTCCTCTCAGCTTTGACGTTGGGGCTGTACATATCAGTGTTGAGGAGGATAATGGCGAAGGCTAAGATGAAGATGGTGTCGGGGTTCTGGAACTGCCGTATCAAGGTCGGATTGCACACGCAATATCTCTGGCTGGGAACAAAAAACAAACAAATATTTGTTTTTCGGCACCGCAGCCACAGAAATCCAGGCTTTTAGCTACAACCGGAATACAAACCTGAACGCCTCGATAAGCCGCTCCACTTTTTGAGCCTCGCCTTGAACTTTGATTTGGGCCTGGAATTTCCTCAGCGCGTCGTCGATGTCCATCCCTGAGAAGTCCATCTCATCCACCACACAGCTGAAACACAGGTCAGGTCAGGGCTTTAGCTAAACACCCCTGCATGCTCCAAAATATTCAAATGCACAGCTTCAGCCTTAAGCTGCCTGTTGTGTTTGTTATATGTTTGGGGACGAGTTAGCGTGCAGACTGGATCTGCTCATTCATGGCACTCAAATGGCGACTCGAGACGTGATGTTTTCGTGGGAGTTTAGATTCATCTGGAGCTCGTAGACAGGTTTGTCTCGCCCCTTTGCATCTGATACAGCCATTTCCTTGAAAGCAACATTACAATCTCTTTTTGAGGACTCACTCTAAAACGTCTTTGTTGAACTGCTTCTGGCGGTTTCCCAGAAACTCTCCAATCATCTGCCTGCTGAGGCCTTTCCTCTCCAGGATGAAACGAGCGATTCCAACGGGGGTGTCCGATACAAAACCCCTCTCAATCAGATACTGGATGCCTTTCTCTGGTTTCCTGCATTTGGAGAAAGATCACCGTAAACTCTCTTTTCTACAGAAACATTTTTGCTCGGTGGGTACGACATCTTACTTGTTGAAAAGGTTGAGGCCGATGCGGTACTGGCGTCTCTGCACCACGTCGCTGTTGAACGGTGGGGAGTCCCAGCTGTGCCGGCTCTCTCGCTGGTAGGTCTGCTTCCCGAGGGGGGGCAGCGGCTCCCTCAGGCTGTCCTGGGAGGAGGAGCCGGAGCTGCAGTTGACCGTCTCGTTGGAGTTGGTGGTGGAGTTGAGCGAGTCGTTGTCTCCGTCCGAGCAGCAGGGCTGCTCCAGGCCGCCGGGCGGCAGGGCCGTGGAGGAGGAGGAGGACAGCGGCGTGGTGGGGGGCTGCTGCGGGGAGGAGGAGGAGGAGGGCGTGTCGGGGTACTGGTGGTGGTGGATGGGGTGGTGGTGGTGGTGGTGGAGGTGGGCCGCCACCTGGTGCGGGATGTGCGTGGGGATGGGGCGGCCGGGGGCCCGGGTCTGGCCCTGCGCGGCCGCCGCCGAGGAGGAGCGGCTCGCCGTGCTGGGGGAGTTTTTCAGCGTTCCCTGAGGGGAGCCGGAACCCACCACGGGGTCCTGCTCGTACACCAGCTGCCTGCTCAGGGAGCCCCGGTCGGAGCGGTCGCTCATGTCCACCGAGCTGTCGCTGGGCGGCTCGATGGTGAGGAGAGGCAGGTGCGCGCCTCTTTGCCGGTAGTCTCTGCACTCGGTGCACGGCGTGCTGCGGCGGCTGTTGCTGCTGCCGCCCCCCTCCGTATCCCTGCTGTCCTCGCGGCCCCCCACGCCACCGACGGGGCCCCAGTACTCCGTATCCGTGCTGCTGGGGGCCCGGTCCAGTGACAGAGGGGAGGAGGGCATGCCGTCGTCCATGTAGAGGGTGACGTCGCTGTAGGAGGTGGCCGTGCTGTCGCCGTGCATGCTGAGCCCCCCTCCGGCCCCCCTGACTCTGTCTCCCAAACCCCTCTGCGAGGAGGGATTGCTGCTGCTGCTCCACATGCACTCTCCAAAGTCCTCGCTGTTCCCTCCGCCCTCCCGGCTGCCCTCCTGGGAGTCATCGCGGCCCGTGCGGCAGGTCAGGGCGTCATCTATGGAGTCAGCTAAAGACTTTACCTACACAGAGGAGAGAAGAACTATTATTAAAAAAACAAAAAAAAAACTTACAACAAGATTTTTTTTCTGGGTTTGTGAGTAGACGGGCAGCTCAGGTGCTCTCAGCTTGTTTGAGAACTTGAAATTTTGTCTCACTTCAAATATCAGGCCTTGACACTTCGTCATCATATATTAAAAGCTACTATTTTACCTGCTTGGAGAAGGAGTCCTCCAGGTGGGTGAAGTCTCCAGGGCGGTCTGGATCGGGGGAATGAGGAGGCCCTATGGCCACGCTGTGGGTGAAGTTGGTCTGTGTCTGGGCCTGCTGCTGAGGCTGCCGCTCGTCAAAGGAATACTGGAGCCTCATGTTGGACAGGATGATGCGGCGTGTCATGCGACTCTCTGAGGCCGAGCTTCGGAGGCGCTCAAAGTTCTTGTTCATGCGGTACTGTCTGAAGGCGGTCTGAATGGTCTTGGCCGCTCTCCGACTGACAAAGGAGCCTCCGTACTTCCTCTCCAGCATCTCTACCTGTAAAGAGACAGGGAAACCACAATCGCAACCTGGACTTTTTAAGTACAGAGAAAGCAGCCGCCCATCACCGGGGGGGACGCGTTACCTTTTTGTCCTGCAGGTCGGTGGACAGCTCGTAGCTGTCGGACAGGGCCTTGCACCTCTTGTTCTCTTCTTCCTCTTGTTTGCGGAGGGCCAGGCTTGCAGGCTGGTGGCGCGTTCGCAGCGCCCAGGCCAAGCTGGCCGAGCTCGTGGCGGGCAGGCACGGGGGGGCCCGGGGACCAGAGGGAGCGCCGCTGCCGGTCTCGCCGTATCGCTCTGAGCCCCGTAGGAAAGGCGGCTGGCCGAAAGAGCCGTCTTTGTGAGTGCCCGTCTCTGGACACTGGGATTCCCCTTCCACACTGTAGAGGAAAAGAAGCAGAAGCTCTCACACTGAGTCACAATCAGCCTGACTACAAGTATCAAACAAAACCCGCTGGCGTGCAAAACGGTGACTTAACAAAAACGGATGCACTTCACAAGAGGTGGCGAGCGCTCAGTAAATGAAGTGGAGCACTGGGCCCGCACTCGGAAAAACAGACTTACTTGTAAAGTTTAGAGCGGCGTGAAACTAACCATCTCCTACTGGAACTCATGATGAATTGAGATCAGTGGCTCGCTCTTATTGTTTCAAGCAGTGCCAGCCCTGAGAGCTGAGAGCTGCCCTCGCCTACATACTGAGCTGGTAATCCAACAGAGAGAAGTGTGTGTCATGCGTCTTCTTTTGCCCGGTCCAGGGTTTGGTTAATATTTGGCCAGGTCAGTTAGTGTTCCTACACGGTAGCGTTGTCAACATCAGGCAGTAAAATATCTTTGAACCGTCAGCAATAATTCAACCACGCTCGTCCACGGTCAGATCCCAGCGGCATTACACCGTCAGGAAAGACCAGGTTGCTGCATTAGCTGCAGGTGAGAAACAGGCAGCACCAGTTTACAGTGAAACATGACATAATACATGCATTAAAGCCTCCTCCCAAGTCCATGGGCACAGAAGTAACTGCAACCTGTGCGCTCCGTTCAGTCAGCATTGCGAACGTCCCTGGTTCCTTATCAGGAATTGGGAAAAAATCCTCCAGTGTCCTGTTAAAACATATTGGCCCGACACATTCCACCCCGGTCGGTAACTTGGAGTGTGTTTGGGAGGACAACTCCAGTCACATGCTCCTTGCCTACGTTTCCTCCTTGTGTTAGCCACGCCCCGTGCTGTCAGCTGGACCTCGTCCCACAGCGAGGCACAGCCCGGGGGTCAGGGATGTGTGGGAGTGCAACACTCAGCACAGAGAAAGAAAAAAACAAACAACGGGCGGATCAAGGCAGGAAAACATTTCTTGTGTGGTTTCGACCTCGCGAGTTTGTTCGGCTCACTAAATGGCGTCTCTAAGAGTTTACTTCTGAGTGGGCCGTCAACAGGCCTCCTCCCTCTGCCCTTGTTGTCATTGTTCCGCTGGGTTTCAGACGCTTCCTGTTTTAGCGTTCAGTTATTCAGTTTGTACAAACAAGCCCAGACGGAAAAGGCTGCTCAGGGGGGCGAGAAAGCATTTTAATTAGGTGAAGTCCTGATCCTGCCAGTCGGGTTGTTGAAACCCAAACGTAACAGTCACCTCTTACACCGAGTCTTGGAATCTCTGGAGTGGGCCAAGGGAAAAGTTTGAACAATACAGGGTCCTTTGACAGGACATCCTGTGCCTTCAAGTGACACAAGGCTTGGCTAAATGATTGTTGAGTGTAACAACAGAAGGAGGGATGGTGCTGTTATGCAGCTAAACACGAGGGTCACCCAGCAGCTCCGCAAATAACACAAGGACTTATATAGGGATATACGCATACACATATATTTACATATATACACACTCAACAAACAATTCACAGAAAAACCTTGTGTGTACACAAAAGAAAAAATCTTATGGTTTAAAAGGCCTTTTTGCCTACATTTTGTGCAAACCAACCGGTAGCAACAAGTTCTTGCATACAACTCCATACTCTCTTGGAAAGTGAACCCAGTGCAGCATCATTTATCATTCTTCCTCCTCTGCTCCTTAAATAGAGAAACTGAGAACAGGGAGGGGGTTGCTTAGTGACTGTTGCCGTGGGACTTCCGTGGGCGGCAAGGCAGTTGTTAGGATGAAAAGCGTAGTTGCCATGACGATGTTGTTGACCGTAATGATTGCTAAGGTGGGTGTTGAAGATGCTCCACGGGTTGTGAATGACAGTCTACATAACGCTTGGCCTTTTTTTGCTTCTAATGTTTGCAGTTCAAATAAGAAGTTTGCCAATGGTGAATTGGTTAAAAATTCCGTGTTTCCTCAACTCTTTGGTTTACAGAAATGAATCATAAAAAGATAGATTTTAGTCAGCTGCCGCCCTGCTTTCTCACATAATCCACACAGATATAAATATTCTGTCAAACTCACCTGTCAAACCTTTTTAAATTATGGAAGCTAGCCACCTAAAAAGCTTCTGCAAAGTGCTGGAGGCAGCAGGGAGTTGTCACCTTTCTGAAATGTCCTGGAGATGCCATGTGAAAATTGGTTTGATGACACTGGGTTGGATGCAGCTTGAAATTAGCTCTCTTGCTTGAGAGTTTGTGTTGTAATATCACCATCCATCCCTCCCTCCTCCCTATAAAAGTTCATATTTAGTTGTTGTGCAATATCACATTTTTAAGATTTATACAAAATACCAAAAGAAAGAAATGGAAATCCATGCATGCAACATTAACGAAGCCTTAGACATTCCGTCTTTTTACTGTTTCTGATCATAAGCTGCAGTTTCACACGATGAAAACATCCTGTTTTGATTTGTTCAGACACAGATATAGACATAGAATCCCAGCCATAGAGGTGATTTTATGATTTTATGAACCCAGTCTTGGCTGAGAAAGTGATGAGTGGCACATCAAGTTTTGGTTTCATAATAGGACGTAGTAGCCCTGCTGATGATGAGACACTTAAAAGAGTACAGATTGGGATTTAGTGACATCTAGTGGCAAGGATCCTCATATTTCTTTTAAAAAAAGGGACATGCAACATGTCAATATATTGGTCTTGCAAAAGACCATAAAAAGACTTTAGAGCAGTGAAAAAAAAGACAACAAACTCATAACTATCATACTGCATTTCTACACAGAGCTTCATGCATTCCGAACATGGTGCTACTTTACGTTTCAAGTGCTGCTGATTCAATCCTACAATCACTCATTTCCCATACCCACTCTATTTGCTCTATTTAGAGTTAAATGACAGAGGTTGGAGCCTATTCCAACAGAGATTCCACGTTGGACGGGGCTACAGTACACTCTCCTCTCAGGTCATTAGACTGAAGAGAAAGAAGTTACACATCCCCAGCCATTTATTCACTCTGGTCATCACCTCTAATCTGCATGTATCTATTCCTTCTCTGCCTGTATGCAGATGGATATTTATGCAATGGTTCGGCACTCATCGGCCAGATAATCTCTGTTCAGGTTCCCAGCTTTCCCCATTGGTTTTGTCAAATGCGTTTCTTGGAATCCTGCAGTTTGTTCCCTGGGCCTTTCGTGCTTTCCAGATAGTTTTTTTGTAACATTGTTATGGGTATGTGTGGAATGACGAATAAGAATACCACAAAACATTACAGACTGCCTCGAGAATGAGAAAACAAGGAAATGCATGAGAGGATTAAAACCATTTGAAAATCTATAGGCAAAAAATATGTCTTGATTTTTTTTCAAAATATAGCTGTTCATTCAGTTATGTTTATGTTTGGCTTAATTTCCAAATAGATACTTTTATTATTTGGAAAGAGCAAACTTCAGAATATTTCTGCCTCAAATAACGTCATTGATAGGGAAATGGGTACTGGCTGAAGACATCAGAAGTAATCATTTCTCAGAAATAAATCTTGAGGTCAAAATGATGGAATCAACATAAAAAAAAATCAAACATATGCTTTATACAAAAGAGCTTTCTTTATATTTAAGGCATTAAAGATTGAATAACAAATATTGCAAATGTAAAGTTCACTTGTACTTCTCTAAACTTCGAGCTTAGACCTCATTCAGCAACAGGATTTAAAATACTATAGTAATAAGATTAAGAAACAGCAAACAAAAAGGCTTGGACTAATGGATGTAGTCTCTTTAAAAACAAAAAAAACAGCATTTGGCTTGATTATTTTTCTCTTAAATGGGTCACCTTTTGTGGACCTCAGTTCCTGACGTGCTAGCGAGAAATGTTAAAGCCCAATAATATCACGGCCCCATGACCAGGCCGGAGCCTTCCACTCTATCAAAGATGTAATTATGGGAGTAAACAACAAGCTCAGAACGATCAGTCAAATGAAAATAGCAGCCGGTCCCCAGGGAGAGGAAAAACAGGTGAGCACGACTTTCATCAGAACCAGGCAATAACCTAAGGTGACAGCAAAGGCGAGGGTGATGCTCCTGCAAAAGATCTGGTCGTTTAAAACATGAAAGCCGCCATATAAAAGCTGCCATCTGAATCTCATTTATGTAAGAAACCCAGTTTCTAGTAATAATGCCAGAAAAACTGAGAGAAGAGAGAGAGAGAGCCTCTCTGGAGACACGGTCCTAAAATCCAGCCAACAGTTTCGTTACCTCCAACCATTTAGCTGGAGCTGAAACAGATGGTTGAATGCGAATAAACTAGCGGAGTGCTCTCACTGGTGGAGTTTAGAGTGGAAAAAAAGAGCCGGTACAAATTGAAAAGTGAATGGGGCAGCGCGCTGTAAAGGACCACTTCAGTTCCCCGCCTCTTTTTCTTCAATCAGAGAATATTGATGTGCTGACCGTGAGCGCGGTCGTCCCTGACCGAGCGACTGACCCCGCGGCAGGACACACAGGCTGATGGATTGACCTCTCTGACCCCGTCATGGGGCATGCCAGCGACCACGTCAATCTGTCTACCGACTTATTCCCCCCCGAAGCATCCATTTCATCCCTAAAAAGTCAGCGCACATTTTCAAACGTTCCTAACAGAGCGCTGTGGAGGTTCTGAGTGTGGCCTTCCAGAAGATCCCAGCTCACCGCTTTGGAGAGGCCTGACCTCCAGCAGACAATCGCCTCATTCAGGGGGCCCGGGACAAGCATTCCTGCACCGCCAACACTAGAGCCTCTCCGCTGCCCCGTGCACCGTACTGACCGCTTGCTTCCTCCGAAAGCGCTAAACTGAGGCTGGGGCCTGACGGACAGCAGGAGAAGGGCCGCTGCAGGGCGATGCGGCTAAAAGGGGCGGCAGCCGTTTTTTGCAGGCACAATCTCCTCCTGATGATCTCTGGCACAGAGGCACGGGAGGAGGATAAGATATGCTTTGTATAAACAGAGAGAAAGGCAAATAAATGAGAACGCTTTCACATGAAATCGCCTCACCGCTTCTATCCCAATTTCTCAACTCACTGGTTTGTCTGTATTTGAAACTCAGAAGCAGTGTTTTGTTATAGTTTTTGTTGTTGTTGTTGTTGACTAAATTGCTGGTTTGGGTGCTACCTGACATTCTAGGAGGACTAAAATCATTTTTCCAGCAGCACGTCTGTTTACTCCATAGCAACGCACTTTATTTGCATTTATCTTATGATTAAAACGCAGCTTTGTGACCCATCATCTGAAAGGCCTCACACAGGAACCGTCATGGGCTCATTTACCTCGGTTTTCCTTGCCTTCTGTTGCTTTTCACAGCTACTGTGTGGCCTGTAAGCACAGGCATTATTCATGTCTCCCTTTTGCTCTTCAGTTCCACTTTCACTTCTAACAAACTGACGATGATGCACGCCCAAAACCTCAATCCGAAAGGCACCACGTCAACAAAAACAAAAAAAACATCCCCGTGTAAAACGAGTAAACGCTGGTTTTCTTACCACGCCACCAACGCCAGGGACAGGTCCCACGCCACCTGCAGCAGCTCCACAACAAACCCACCCTCTGAACACTTTTGGCCCCGGGCTCTGGATCGCCCCGCTAGAGCCGACCGGGCTGCATTCCTCACAGCCTTTTGACAGCTGCGAACTTCCCCGGTGCCTCCCTCCCTCCCTCCCGCCCGCCGTCGGATCTCTGGCACGCATCACGTTTCATTTACACAATGGCAGACTTAGCCACGGCTCGCCCCAGCGGCACGGCTTACAGGAGCGGACAAAGGGGCACGCTGGGGGTTAAAAAAAATATTGATCTGATGGCGGGACGCGTTAGTTGTTTGCTTGGTTGGTTACAGTGTTAAAGGTTAAAAATGAAAAGGAAGTTGCTCTCCTGTCCTCTTTATGGAGGTGCCTGGAGCCCAGTAAGAACGTGGGGATCATGGCAGGAGTGGCACTGGGCACCAGTCAGAGAGAATATGCACCCCCATGTGGAGGCAGTGGTCCCTCTGGTTACGATGTGGAGGTATGAAAGCCAGGCAAGTGGGGACTTTTCCCCCCTGGAGGCATATCTGGTGGTCAGTGGCTTTCGCAGGTCCGATTGCTTTGTGTTTGGAATCCAGACAAGTGTAAACTGTTTTAAAAAAAAGATTTCTTAAATTGTAGGCAAATGTGTGCACACTTTTTTCTTTTTGCATGAAGCCGTCAGTACAAAGTGACGTTTCCACCAGAAGCCCTCTAATCTTTGTCATCCGATTTAGAAATCCGGTTTAGTTTACTACATAATTGCTGCTTGCACTGAACAGTTATCCCATGAGAGATAAGAGAGATTCGGTTAAATTAAAAGATCTGGTTTTATTGCAAGTCTGTCCTTGGAGGCAGCAGCTGTGTCTCAAACAAATAGCTCAATTTTTACCGTTCTTGTGCAAGTTAATTAACCATCAGATGTATAAAAAAAACTTTTGCTTTCGATGGGAAACAACAGATTTCCACCAGCCAAGAGCAACACACTAATCAGGCTTCCTAAAATACTGCCATATGTACTGTGCATTCTGTGCAGAGAGGCATTAACATTTGAGGATTATGTGCACCACCCAGCAGACATACCACTGAAAATAGCTCCTCTATTATTTCTTTTTGTGTCTACATGGGTATAATGTCCCTGAGGTAGTGATGAGTGATGTAACGGATGTGCATAAAACAGGCGTCTTCACCTTGAGAGAATTGAAACAAAAACAAATACTCTCTTCAGGAGTGTGACATCTTTATTTTCTCGGAGCATTTACACACACCAGACTTAAGACGATGAGGAAAAAACGTGATGGACAAGAGGACGTTTTATCAGACGGAACAATCTAAATGACACGGGAAAGAAACTGCATGACGGGAATATTGTCACATCTCATACGCTAGCTTTCGATGCATAATAATAATGACAACGGGGACAGAAGTGGATGGCAATCTGCACAGATAAAAAATGGCATGACTCAACTAGTGGAACCAAGATAAGCATGAATGCAGCAGTAATGGGCAGGCGACGGTGATGTGCTCCGACAGCTTGATATGGCTTCAAGTAAGGAGGAAAAAACAGACAGGGAGAACATACAGAGAGAACACAACATCAAGATTCCTTAAGTGGAAAATTAGCACACAAAAGCATGTGATACATGAAGAAATCAGTGAGAGATAAAGACCGCAGGTTGCATGCATTCCTCTTTTTTTGTTATTGTATTCCTGCTAAAAGTCTTTTTGGTGTACAGCGAGGTCCCAGTTTTTTCTGGCAGCGTGTGGCAGAGCTTTTACAGGTAAGTGTGCGAGCCGTCGCTCACGCCGCAGCTCAGCGAGAGGAGGGGCTGCTGCAGCCCGAGGCAGAACAACAGAACTGATGGGCCCCCTCATCCTCACCCACCGCACTTTGAAATCAACACGGGACGAGCAGCAGCACACACACACACACACAGAGAAGATGGGACAGCAGGCGGACACACAGAACAGAGAGGAGAAGAAGAAGAAAAAACGGCAAAAAACAGAGTGAAACGCTGCATGAGACAAAAGCACAAGGCAAGCAGGTGGAATCTAGAAAAGGGAATAGAGAGAGTGGCATTTTGAGATAAAAACGGGGCATAAAAATAGCATCTTTGTCAAACTAACGGTTGCCATACATTAGGTGTAGGGGCATCCTGGACTGCTGGCGCCATTAGAGGGCAGTGTTGGAGCATCGCGTGCAGATGTGGACCGGAACAGCATCAGTTATTTGAAGGATAGATGAGAGGAGGGGATAAAAGGAGGAGAGAATTCACCAGGTTCACTTGTGACTCAGTCAACCTCGGTCCCAAGGCTTAATGAAGATTGCACTTCCTCTCGCTCTGCTGGAGGAGCTGTGTGTTGTTCAAGCCGCTAGAACGAGCCAGCTATTGCTATTAGTCACAACTGGGAGGGGTGGGAGACTGAGGCACAGGCTTCTAAGAAGGGCGGAGGAGGTAAAGCAGGAAAGCAAGCAGATGGGGATTAAATGTGGAAAAAAGGTGTCGGTGACAAATGAAAAGGCCACTCTGTGAGGGAGAGATCTGCAGGCTGTTGACCGGCAGACGCCAAGGCGCACGGTCATTCGTACTTTTTTTTCTACTCACTGCAATCGGGTCCAATTGTGGCCCCTTACCTGTCGTCCTGCCGTAAGCTTTGGTCAATGGAGGGGCAGCAGTACTGATGGAGGCTACCGAAGCTGTGAACGGTCAGACTGGTGGGAAACAGAGCGGCAAACGTGGCGCCACTCGCCGCCGTGGGAGTGGTGGGAGCCGAGACGGGCTGCCCTGAGACAGATGGAGGCCGGACACTGACACGAAGGGCCAGAGAAGGACGACAGACGCACAGACAGAGGCGTGAGGGAAGCAAAGAGACACAGACACAGACAGTCAGCACCAAGGCAGAGAAAAAAAAGAGACAGGAAGAGAAAGCATCTGAAGCTGCACGCCCATTGGAAACAAATCACACAGCGGCGATGGCAATAGGAGGAATGGCACATTTAGAAGGAGACAAGATGCAGATGTGCAAGATTCTGCACAAAAACAAACAGCAGTAAGGTGGCTAACACCGACCGGCCTATACAGACCAACTGGAAACTATCAGCTGCAGGACACTACAGACAGGTGGTTTGAAGGGCAAAGTGAAGAACTTTGTGGCAAAAAAACAACAAATCTGGTCTGTCAGTGAGCGTTTTCTCACTGCACTCGGCTGGATTACATAAAAGCTCTACACCGCTCGACGGCTGAGCTTATTGGTGCATCGCCCCGGATGGAAACGGAAGGCACTTTCTGTAATGCGCAGGAAACATAAAAAACCTCTCTGGTGCTTATCTGAGCCGTCCGGCCGGATTTAGAGATGTTCCATCTGTGTTTGAGGAGGGTGCAGTGCTTGAGATTAGCATGCAACAAGTGGCTGGTTTCTCATGAGGGGCCAGCTGCTCTCAAGGACATGAGGTCCGTGTCACTTTGGCGTGGAAGAGGGAAAAGCGAGACGCGTCCTCTCAGTGGCCGACTGCACTTTAGCCAAATCTGTGACGCAGAACTTTGCAGCTGCTGCTTCATTCACCTGCAATCTCACAGCAGAGCATAAACAAGAGCCTGCCGCGTGCGGAAAGTGAGACATTTCGCTGTCGCGTGGAAAATCTGTTAAGAGTCTGACAGCCGAGGAGAGCAGACTTTTCGGGAAATGAATGGTGCCTTACTCCTGTCTGAGTTTGCAGCCAAAACTTGTCATCTTTTAGACAAAAGGGGAACAAGATAACATAGAGAATGTTCAACCTGCACAAGTAATGTGGGTAATGAACGGGATCAAGAAGTTGACGTTATTAGCCTGTTAGTTGCAAATAGAAGGATAGAACTCTCTTATCACCCAGTTCCATCCCAAATCGTTCCTTTACAAGGAAAAGTCGGTGCTCTGACAAGAGCTGGAAATGAGCAGGCTTCAGCATTTTAACATCTGGCTACCATCGGCAGCTGGGGAGCAACTGCATTCGTTTAATTTGTGGTCTCTGTCCTCCCTTGGGAATGTAAATCCTCTCCCTCTCTCTTGTTGAAATACTGCTTCCAGTCTCTTCTGATTTATGACAAGCATTTCTTGCTCAACACGTCTTAAATAATCTGCCCATGATCAATGCAAGAAGTCCTGAGTGTTGGTGCAGATTTTGGAGATAAGTCTCTGTAACTTGAGTGATAATTGAAATAGAACACAATTGTGACTCGCGTTCTCAGTAAAGACCCTCCTTACAGCAGTCAGGCTTCACTAAAAGCCTTCTCCGGCTTGACCCTGTTGACATCCCTTTTAGCTCCACGTCACCCTTCGATTGCTTAGTTGTTAAGGCGGCGGCTGGCAAAGGTAACTGGCAAACTTTGTGTGGAAAAGCTTCCCACGGCCATTAAATCAAACACAGGGATGCACAGTTGCTGGGGTCCATCCCCGCTGTCATCTGGAAGAGGGAACCTGCTGGATTTCATGAGGGGCTCATGAAAATCTCTCCAGTATCTATGTTCTATGTTCCATGATTATTATCTGCAGCACAAAAGAGGACCACTTCTTATCTAAACTTTACTCCGAAGTGACATTATCATGTCATTCACAGAGCTAACACAATCCTATTGGGTGTGATCATTCCATTTATTTTAAAGCTGCTGTAATTAAACTTTTACTTAAGATAACTTAAGACAATTAAGAGATAATTAAGATTTATACCCAATTTCTGCAGATATTAAAAAAGGGATATCTTTATGATCATTTGCCCCAAAATAATCATTTTGAAGAGTTTTAGTTAGGATTTAGAGCTCAGAAATGGTGCGTTGCTACTGTTCTGCTCTTAAGTTGCTTTTGTAATGGTACCAACTCAGCCCGACAGAGTTTGGCCCTGCCCGGCCCAGCACAGCTCTGAGCCGAATGACTGGTGTGCTAATTCATCCATGAAGCAAGCAGAGCCATCAATGAAAGACATCGCGGCAACTATTCACCGTATAAACCTCAGTGTTTGTTGGTTCTCGTATTAGGCAACATTCATGATCACAGAAGTCATTTTTTAAAATGGAGAGGGGTTCACGTGACGCATTGGCAGTGTATTTTTGGCACTTCTCGGCCCTGATGAACTCCCAACAGAGTGGAAGTGCAGGGTGAAAAAGAAATGGTATGGAAAACTCAGTCATGGCAGGAAAAAAAAAGAAAGATTTTTGGTTCTGAACTTTTTCATGTGATTGGCTGACGAAAATAGGGAAAAAGCCATGGTTGTCCTTTTTTTCCATCTAGAAAAGGGCAAGTCTAGCACGCCGAGCGGGAGTGCTGGCAACACTTTAAGAGCAAGATCACTAAGAGTGTTCGAGGAAACAATCGTGTAGGTGGTGGGCTTGTTTGTTTGGTGCGGATCATAAAAAGTTCTAGTACTATATAAAAATGTTAAAAATCTGTGGCTGTTTTATAAGCTGAGCTTGGACCACTGAGTGCCATTTATTCCTATTTATAGCACCCATGGGAATATTTCAAGTCATCGCTTATTTTGTTTAAACAAGATGTGAATTGCCCTTTCTATCTATTAGAGGTCTCAGGTCTCTATCACATAAAATGAAACCCTTAGAACGAACGCACCCGTTGACCTGCCCGGCCTTGGATGGAGATGTGGAGAGAGGCAAGACGGGAGTTGTTATATAAGTCTGAGCAATGCTCGTACACAGCGTGTGGTGTTCCAGTGCCAAGATTTGTATTTCACCAGCAGTAACTAATGCCTCCTGTTGGAATATCCCCAGCGAAACAACTGTTGACAAGTTCATCTACAATCTCATTTGTGATTCAAGAGCAGTTATGTTTCAATCTCCAAGTGCTGTGGGAAAAAAATGAAAAGAGAAAAAGAAAAAAGACATCTCCACAAGGCCTTCTTATTCTAGCCCGTAGAAAATACACATACCTACCCACACAGATTCTTAGAATGTACACATATTCACTCTTATCAGAATTACCGCAGAGGAACGCGGTAATAGAGAGATGATGTCGATATGTGAATCGACGCACCGCGGGCCAGAAGTTATTAAGTCGAAAAAGAAAAAAAAATAGATAAAGGAGGAGAGGGAAAACAGAGCACGTTCTGAACATTTGTATTTAAAGCAACAAAGAGGGGGGACTGGAGGCAGGAGGAAGAGTGGGAGGAGGGAGAGCTACACGAGAGTGGGAGAGGTTGTGCAGAGGAAGGGCAGGGGTGAAAATAATCAAGACAAATGGAGGTAAGAAGGACGGGGGGGGGGGGTTGCTGTGTGTGGAAAAGCGACGTAGCTTCAGTGTTTCCTAAAAACCTGTGAGCTGGCACGGGGGTGTCGGTGCGTGGGCGAGCGTCTATCTATAGAGCAGTGAGGAGGGTGGGAGCCAGGCTCACATGTGGCGCTCAGAGGAAGACGTTGGGCCGCGCGGCTGTGGCAGCTTCACGCACGTTTCACGCCCGCGGCCCACGGCCCGCCAGCACCAGCACTTCCATCCCTGCCTGCTTCCGGGGGAATCTGTCCACTTGGAGCTCTGCTTCCATGGTGTGTCGTTGTCGCCGCCGTGTGTGTGACGCCAGAGTGTGGGAGGCGCGCTCCGTCATCCCACCCCCGCCGCGCGGGCCGCCCGAAAAAGCCGAGATGTTCGACAAGCGCGAGCTTCAAGTCGCGCGCGGTTTCTAAAGCTTCACCGAGCTCCTCAGCGACCTTCCTCCCTGGTTTTCCACCAGCGAGCTCCTGTCTCCCGCTGCTTGGCAACGGTGCGGACTGCCTGTGTGGGCGTTTGGCGTTGAGTGCCAGGCAAAAAGCACTGGCGAGGAGGAGGGGGGGGGGGGGTCACAGTTAGGGCTCAGCTACGCACGCCGGGCACCTGCTGTGCCCCGTGAGCCCGCGTGCACACACAGGTGTTTGATTTCCACTGGATGTGACTCATCCAAAGGCAGAGCAATTAGGCCTGCTCCTAATTTAAGGTGGTCAGCACATAGAGAAATGAATGAGACAATGATGCACCTGCAGATCGCCAGAGGGAAGGGGGGGCCGCAAAGACTGAACCAGATCTCGGTCATAAAGCATGACTAAGTGTCTGAGGCGGTTCCTGGGAAAACCACGCCTCGACCCCTCGGCGGCGACAAGTCAACAGCAGCCCCACTCATCTGTCTCCTGCGTCCCCGTCACGCGCTCATTCAGCCCTTCTGTCTTTCGCCCTGCTCCTGCTCTCCCTCCTACCCTCTCCTCACTTCTCTCCATCTCTTTATTCTGTGTCTCTCGCCCACAGAGTTCTTCACAGTAGAGCTCACAGCGTTCCCACGGTAACCAGTATCCCTATTCTGCAACGTGGAGCGCGTGCGTGAGTGCTTGACAAATATCCCGCCTCACAAGTGTCACTTATCCGCGATCTGAATGGGAAAGGCTGTGAATAAAGCGACTGCAACAGCTGGGAAAAGGGAGGGAGGCGCTCCCGTGTTCAGCGGAAGCTCAGTCCCGTCTGAACGACGGGGGGAAATCGTGATCTCCTGGTCAGAGGGGGTGGCGGTGGTAAATGATAGCACCCCCGTTAGGTTTAACCCCATGATGACTGGACGGCAGCTTCTGCACTCACTAATGACAAAGCAAGACCTCTAATCTGAGCACTAATTTGCCACTGTTGCCGTGGCGCGGACGCCAGTGCCATCTGTGCACAGCTGCCACTTAAAACAAAGCGATGGGGAGGAGGAAACTGGGAGGAGCGCGTGTCAGGACCAGGATATAGGTGATGGGGTGCAAGAGGGTGGAAAAAAATAGAGAGGCGGAACCGACAGAAATGTAATAATGCAACTGTATTGAGGCCAGAAGTAGTTTCCACAGCAACTATACCCAGTCCCTCGCGGCGCTCGCACTCCGAGAACATTTCACTGACAGAGAAAGATTTACATCGCAGCTATTCGCTTGCTCTCTCACCATTTCAGTATATGCAGATGGTGGGTGAATGAAACAGTGGGCATTAAGTAAGAGAAAGGAAGTGTGCTTAAACAGGCTCCAAAAGTGGGAAATATCCAAGTACATTAAAACTGGGTAGTCCATTCCATCACTGCTTTTTTTTTTCCCAGGATCTGCGGCCAAAACACTATTCAGGATGAAAAAAGGCCTCTTTGAAAAAGAAACCGCTCCAAAATATCAAATCAAACTGTACACCCATCTGCTTTCACTAAACTATAAATGTGCGTTATGTGTTTAAAACCCAGAACTTGACCCCCCGGCACAAAGAGGTGAGGTCATTGGTCACGCTGGGGAAGAAATGGAGATCCTCGCCTCTCATTGGAGACACCTTAAAAAAAATATGTCTTCAAGGGTGTGGATTTATGTTGGGCTCAGTGACTGACTGGCACACACAAAAAAAAAGACTTTCTCCTTTAAGTGCACAACACTGAGCCATGAACACTCACTTCACTACAAGGCGAAATGCACCACCCACGTGCAGCTGCCTCCCACACAAACACACGCATCCATCATTTGAATTTGTTTCAAGCTAAACTGCCTCGCTGTTATCGTCAGCGCCGCTGTGATATTTTCATTCGCAGCTGAACGGCACTCACTTGAAATATGACAATGCATCCCGAGACAAGTCTCCTTTCTACAGAAGCTGGGGCCAACCCAAAAGGGGGCAAGATTGTCTGTCATCGCATTGACACGGCAGCGTGTTCTGCACCGGGTCAGAGGGAGCTCAGCCGGGCGTACCCACACATCTGCCCGGGGCCCCGTCTCTGTTACCACGGGCTCGAGGATGCAACTTACAAAAAGAACCCAACTAAGATTCCCGAGAGCAACAATAGCTGCTCCCAAGTTGCTCCCTTAAATGCAGGGCAAAAGAAAAAAACAGCAACAAAAAACGAGCGAGCTGAGAGGGGAAGAGAAAGAAAACGTCACCAAAAAAGTCATTTCTGCAGCTTCTCTGAGTCATATCTGCAGCAGTGGGAAACAGAAACAGCGAGGGGGAGAGAGTGAGTGTACATACGTGGGTATGTGAGAGCGCGAGTGTGAGTGATAGAAAGGGTTGGGGGGGGTGGGGAGGTGTAGAGGGGATAGGGTTAAATGTAGTGGAGCTACAAGGAGCTGCTTCTGACACAAGAGCCCGTTACCCTTCTTCTCCAACCTGCCCCAGAAACGGAATCAAAGCCAGTTTCGCCCTGTGGGGAGAGGAAGGATGGAGGGGCAAACGGGAGGGGAGAGGCCAGAGCACCTCCACAGCGTTCTGTGACAGTTGGAGAGGTCTCCTTTTTCTGTTTTCTCTTTGCTTTCCCTCCTCTGTGCCGTTATGTAACAGCTCTTCTCTGAGTGTCAGCTCTTCCGGGGCTGCGGTCGGGACCTCCAGCTGCCGCCGCCTGCCCTCCTGTGGGCCGTGCGAGACCAGCTGTGTGTGTGTGCGCCACACGATGGGGGAAAATCGGCGTCTCGCCCCGTGCGGCGAGAATGGGATGATGTTTCGGGCCAGGTGAAACCCCCCCCCCCCTCTACAGAAGCGCCATTAATTATCCTCCGGTCACACCAATTAGTCTCTCGTCTCTCTATCACACATCTCTGAGCTCGCACATAACAGAAAAAAACACTGCACCCACCACACACACGGCAAAATGCATTGAGATGACTTTTCCCAAAATATCAACAAAAACATCTGCCCCGCTCACAGCCAGCAGTGGCAATGCCCTCCACCCCCCGCTGCGTTTTAGAGGGGCTTGGCTTCAAATATCATTTCACCGCCCCACGGCCTCCGACTCGTGTCACTAACGCTGCCATCAGAGGCACAAGGGCGCCGCGGCGGCTGGCGTTTGGGACAGCTGTTTAACGGCGCCGTGGTGGGAGAGAGAAGAGGGGAGCGACTTTGTTTTGATGATGCTCCCCATACGCGTGACTAATAGAAAAATAATAAAATGGAGACGGTTTGTTCAGTCAAATCAAAATTGAGGGTTAGGTGAGCCAGGGAAAGGCGCAGGAGCAGAGCTGACGGCTCCTGCTGTGTGTGTGTGTGCGTGGGGTAAGAACTAATTGGACAGAATCAAAGCCAGATCCCAGAGTGAGGCCTTCTCCTGAGCTTCTCTCCCTTCCCCTGCTCGCACACCCTACTGACAGATGGCGACTCAGTGTGTGTGTTCCACCTTTTCTCTTTTAGACTGAAGCCCGCTGAGTGAGGTCGTCCACTCACTTTTCCTCTCCCTTGCCATCTTTTCCCCTCAACCCCCCTCCTGATCTGAATCCATATTTGGAGTGTCGGTGAGGAACTTCATGTTCGAATCAGAGCCATTATTAGAGTGGAGGGCACTGTCGTTGACCGGAGCCAACAGGCCAGTTTGGGCTGGGCTGAGTCACGGCCAGACGGGGACAATATGGCCCTCGTGCGCGACTATTTATTGATTGTGACACGGCATATGATGCGCTTATCCGAGCCAAGGTCCAAAGTGCTGCGGGCAGGCTGTTAACATCGGAGGATCAACAGGATCTACATTAGCTATTCTCCATTACATTTAACAACCCCATTAATAACTAATATGTGCTTGTGTCTAATGACTAAGTCCCCTCCAGGGAGGAGGAAGAAGGTGCCAGGGAGGCAGACGGCAGAAGAAAAGGCAGCTCTAATCGATAAGGGATTCGTGTGAATCTGAATCCGTCGTTGGTGAGAGGACTGGGACTGTGTGAAAACAACTGCTGGGACCACTGGGCGTTGTTGAAGGCAGATTTAAAAGGCAGCAACAGTTTGTTTCACTGTGTGCCTTTTTTTTTTCCGCATGAGCTGCTGCCTACTCACCAAGCTCAGAGCTTCCAGAACAAAAGCTGACTCTATGTGTGCGTGCGTGGTTAAGTTAAAAAAGCGAGGACAGATGCACTCGGTGTTTGCCAACGCTGAGTTTTGCAGAATAAGAGGACGGAAAAAAACGGGAGAAAAAAAAGGACCATTGAGACCAAGACTTTGGAGGAAAAGAAACATGATTTTGGAAAAAGTAGCCAATGACTTCTTTGCTCCAGGAAGTTTAGACATCCATAAAAAAAAAGTAAGTTATCCAAAGCATACACAACAACGTCTCACAAATGTCATTACACAAGTCATACTCTAAATCAGGCTTTGAGCACGTCAGCCTAAATCCTCCAGCAATCAGTACATTCTCAGATGGTGTTTTATTGAAATATCCTCGCTCAGCTTTAGTCCCATTACTGTGAGGATTATCTCACATGACTAGAACGACCGAAACTTCACCCAGCCTGTCATTATGTGGGCTTAGTGTTTAAATGTTCTGTCAGACGGAAGGCGTCCCTACAATTTAGAGCAACTTGGACAAGATTGCCGACACTCAAACAATACGACGCCAAGCCGCTTGTAGTAGTGGTGGTGGTGGAAGGGTGGGGTGCTTATGGGACTTACTTTCTGCGCACGGTGGAGCTGGCGTTGGTGTCGGTGCTGTCGGTGCGTTCCAGCCGCTCTCGCTCGGTGGTGGAGGAGCTGCGGGAGAGGCCTCGCGTCAGCCTGGTGTGGCTTCTCCTCTCCCTGCCGGGTCCGGGCGTGGTGGCGGCCCCCGCCGTCACCTGAGATGTGGAGCCGCTGCCGTTCCCGCCACCGCCTCCGACGGGGAGGGACGGGGGCTGGCCGTGGTCGTGGTTCTGCTCGGGGGTGTCGGACCCGGGGCCGCGCGGGCTGCGGTCCTGCCTCAGGTCCTGGTTTTCCTGGCTGACCCGGTCCAGCTGGCCCTCCAGCTCCTCGATGCGCCGGCGCTGGGTCTCCAGGAGCTTGGCCTGGCTCTCAATGATGTTGTTGAGCTCCAGGAGGTACTCCACCGCCCGGTTGGGGCTCTCCGGGCTGGTCTCCATGACGGGAACCCTCCCTCTTGGGGTGCGACCGCCGCCAGCCACAGTTTCGACCCCGCGGGGCCGAGATCCACCCCCCCCACCAGCCCTGATGAGTTGGGGGGAGGGAGGGACCGACGAAAGCTCTGCTAAAGCTTAGCTATAGGCTTTGGATGCTCAGAAACAGAAAGTCACAGAGGTGAGGAGATTGAGGATTTCAGGGAGACTACATATCCCAAAGGATGGGGGCAAAAATGAGCATTACAGCATCTTAGCAGACATTAAGGATGATGCAAAGCCATGGAGACAGTTCAAAGCTGAAGGAGAAGCTTGTGTTGCTGTGAATTGTCTGATTTGGAGAAGTCATTTTGTCATCAGCAAGGCGCAGGTAAATTGTTTGGAGTGTCATGATTGATGCAAAAAAAATCTAAACGATACAACAATAAGATTGTCAAGAGGTTAGGAAAGTCGAATCCATGCCTTTGGATTAAGTAGGATACAGTTATTTATCCTTAATTCTTGACTAAGATTTTAAATATATATGTTTAAATGCACAAATGAGGAAGCAGAGCATCAATCCATCCTCTACCCGTGGTCATATCAGCAACTAAGAGCTCTGGCATCGGCACTTTACCGCTAAACACACATTTAAAGGGATGAGGGGGACGCTAGTTAAGATTTACCACTTATTAGCAGGCGCTGTCATTCATTACATAACAGCAAATTCTGCTCCCTCCCACGTTGAAAGTCCCCGCAGTCCGTCACCGTCGCCTTCAACCCATGGCTTCATGCGTCTTGTGCTCACAAAAAGTCAGCAAAGCTGGTTTTCGAAGTTCATTCTTAAAAGCCCGAACGGTCCCCAGCAGCTCCGGCCAAAACTACATCCCGCTGTGGAAAATTCACATTCCAAAGTGCGAGCCCGGAGGTCTCTCTCATCCGAGAACACCGCGGAGTTTAGCTCCAGCTCCCGAATTTCCCACAAAAAAATACAAACCGGCGAAAGAAGTTGCCGCTCCTTGTCGACCAGCAACTGTTGGGAATATTTTTTTCTCAGTCTGTAAGTATCAATTAAGGGGCCGCGTCAAATCTTTTCAAGAGTAGTTTTTTGTGTGTGTGTTTGCCGCCTTCGTCGCTGCTGTCACGGCGGTCGAAGCGAGCCCGGGCCGTCCTCTCCAACTTCTCTGGGTTTCGTCTCTGGCAGGTGTTTCGGTCCACGGCGAAATTTGGGTGTAGGTTTCCCCCCCGAAGCGGTGCGGCAGATGAGCGTTTCCCTCCCGGTGCGGCTGAACTGCAGCTACGCTCGCGACTTCTGCCGCGGAGCGGCAGCGCCGTAGGCTCGCGTGCGTGGTGACAACTTCCGGAACAATATTTCAAAGTAAAAGGCTGACCGCCAAGCATCGGGGTTTTTCTGCTCTCTTACTTTTTACCGTGGTACCCGGCTGTCTTCATTTAAGCAGTAAACATTGTTTTGCGTTTAAAAATGTTTTTTAAAAAGGCCCAGGTGCTAGTCACAATTCATTGGGGACAAAACTCGCCTTCGTAAACAAGCAAACCAAATAATATGCTACAAGAAAACAGAAAATGTTGCACAATTTTGGGAAGGACTGAAACCAATACAAAGAAAAAGGGAAGACATATTACTATTAACAGCAGCAGTAACATTGTGAACATTCTGAAACGTGATTTTCTTATTTGCTGTCTTGTGGGCATGTTCTCTGAATATCTTCTTTTTTTATTATGACTTTGAGCCACACTATTCTGTTGTCTGAGGCCCTATTCTAAGTTTTTTTATTAGTTTGTTTTTTTGCTGCACTTGTGATTTTCCAAACACTGCCTTCCTTGTCATGTTTGGCATCTGTGGGCCTCCACACATCACAGTTAAAAACCCAAAGAGGCTGCAGGTTTCAAACTTAAAATAGTTCAAAGAGCAAACAATATCGCCTGGGTCTGGTGACACCAGTAATTCTTCTCTAATCTCGAAACAGTAAATTGCTATTTCAGCGCAAAATCAACTCAACTTAACTTAGTTCCAATCTAAAATAAACCTTACTCCACAAAGAAACTTATTTTCTATTATTAAGTTTAGCAAGGAAACAGTGAACCACATTGCTTCAGAAATCATGCTTTTGGGTGAGCACTTTCACTGACTATTAAAGTCTTTAATCATGTTCATTCTTCAATTCATGACAAACATGGAAGACACATTACCAAATTACATGATATAATACATTTAATTACTGTGAAAAACGTTTTTAACCAAGGTCCCAGCAGGTATGAAGGTAAAGCTCATAGTTTTATAGTATTCAATGGAAAATAACAGTGAAAAGGTGCAGCAATACCATTTAATTTTGAAAGTATGGTCAGGATCTTATTTGGCATCTTTGCAGCTTTAAATTCCTCAGTATTTGAATCCAAGGTGCACAGGTAGGAAAACTACTAAATGAATAGAATACCATGCGGTCCATAAAACGGCCTATTCTGTTGAGCTAAATGTACAGCTGAAACCCCACAGCTCAATATTGAACATCTTTTGCAGTGAAACGGGGAGATGGGTTGTTATTAATGGGGTTTTATTTATTTATTTAGTAGGCATAAAAGCTGACTTGAACAGAAGGATGCGGCTCAGGACAACAAGAGAGAACAGCAGACCCTAGAGCGGTGTTATTTTTAGTGGCAGTGCTTAAGAGCCCATATCTGGACTGAAAACATGAATATCCCTCTTTCCTGTGTGTGTGGCTGTGGCTTACACAGGTAATATTTCTGAACAGAATAAAAAAAGTAACACTAGATCACTAGATGGAGAATGTGAAGTAAATGCTCAAGTAAAAATACAAGTGTAAGACAGATTTTTCATTTCGGAAGATCATTTTAGCTGTTTACTTCTTTAATTTTCTTTTTTTTTTTTGCTTTTTTATTTAATACTAGTATACATCTTTACTGTTTAGTCAGTTATTTTTATTTAGTCTCATTCTGTTGTGAATTCTTTATAACAATCCTCAGTCTTATCACAGACCTCATCCTGGTACAATCTAATTTTATACGGTCAAACTGTAGTCTACGTTTATGCTGCCATCTGCTGTCCGTTATTGAATATGTATTTTTGCTCCACAAAGCAATAAAAAATTTTAAATGAAATCCACAACTGCAAAAATTTGGTTTAGCAGTTTATTTGCACTTTACAGTTCAGCCAAACAACCCTTCTTATTAGAAATGAAAGTTTTTAAAAAAAGGAATCATAGCAAACGTTATAAAATAACTCTTACACATTGGCTAAAAAGCTACTCAGTGTGGTCACTGGTTGGAGAAGACAGTTTATTTGTTTGGTCGCTGCACTGCTATTCTGGGCAACACAACAACAATGCAAACAAATAGAGCGGGCACTCTCTCAGCAGTTTGATTTAATTCTGGGGTTTGTTCCCTTGGGTAGATATGAAGAAAAGACTGGTTATAAATAACAGTCTGCATCTCCTAATGCCGCCATAAAGAATCAACATAATATTGCTAAGACTTGAAGACTATGAATCCATTTTGCGGTATGAAAATGGCGTGAAGTCACTCTGCAGCTTCCTCCCTAATGGCTTATCTGGAGCGAAGTATCCGAAAACCTGAGTTTATCAAAAAAGATAATTTCATAGAAAAATAACATCTCACAGTATCCGTTCAGCTTAAATCTTATCAATTTTTCCTTAACAGAATTTATTTTCTCTAAAGAGCAAAAGAAAATGAAGCTCAGATTCTGCAGATTTTCCTTTTGCTGATTTACAGTTAGGGCCTTTTGTTTTTGGCATGGCTGAAATTATTTAAAACAACCCACCCATCTCTAGTAATAGACACCTCAGAGCAAAGGTTTTCACAGTAAGAAAAATAAGTGGTTAAGATAAAGTGGTTTGTTACCAAGGCAACTGTACGTGGCACGATGGGCACAGCACTCTCTAGAATCTAGATAGTGGTTTTGTTCTGACCCCACATACACAATATTAACAGTACTGGAAATATGCACTCCAGATGCATATTTTTGGCATCTTTTGGCTGATTTCTGAAGTAGGGTACAATACGGAGCATCCAAACCACACTCAAGCAGCATTTGACAAAACATTCATTTATGACTAGGGTAGGTAATCGTATATTTGTCTGCGTTAACATTTTGCGCCATCACAAAAACAGAGTACCAATATTCACATTACTCTCCATCACACAATAATATGGTTTTGTTTGTGTGTGTGTGTGTATGTAAATATATCAATATATATCAATATATATCTATATCTATATATGTATCTCTCTCTCTCTCTCTCTCTCTCTCTATATATATATATATATATGTATATATATATATATATATATATATATATATATATATATATATATA